AGATATTTGCATTTTCAAAAATTGTGCACTGAAAGTTAGCAGTGGACTTAAAGCCTACGTGCTGGAAGTAAATTATTTAGGCAGACAGGCACTTAGCTACCTACATGCATGGATTTATACCTGCAATTTCAACCTGTGCAGACACAAATCGGAATCCCTAATCACTGGTGCTTTGTCCACTGAGGGTTAAATAATTCACAGCTTCCATCGCTTCCTTGGGAAGTTCTTCCACAGGGTGAAAATCGCACCATTTCTCCTCCTTGTTCATGGGTGAACAACAACAACAAAAGTGCCTTACCATCGATTGATAATGGCTTCCAAGCAGCATGATGGGGTCAGTGCCTGGACTGCTTATGAGAATAACTGTGTTCCTAATCCTGGTACCAGACCAGGCCTAACAGGCCAGCAAAGGCTGTTTTACACATCTCTGTGGAAGTTTTTATTTTAATGGATTTCACCTATCAAAATAGTTGTTTCTCACTCCAGACATGGCAGACGGGACCCTTATTTCAGATAAATATAGTCTGCTTTGCTTACTCCTACGGAGAGTTTTTTATGGGGCTAGATTGTACAGGGAGAGATGAGGAACTCAAAGGAAATACTTGACTTATCCATTGTTTGAGATGATGCTTTTTTTTCAGCATACCTGCACTCAGGTAAATCCAGAGCTTGTTAACTGTAGCTGAACCCTTTGTCTGAAGGAGGTTACACAAGGACAGCATGCAAGACTACAAATTCTCTCCTTCCCTGAAGGAAAGATATTCTGAGCACTGCTGTAACAAACCTTTTTCAGATCACATAGGGTGCCGATCAAAACAGCAAGTCTTCAACAGTGACCAAAAGTAAAGGAGAAGGATGTAGAACACCAGTTTGTTTCCATTTGTGCAAGATAATGCACCAAGGACATGGCTGATACAAAGCAGAAAGGGGAACCCAACCCAAACTGAAGATTCTTTTATTCATATTCTATAGTTTTGTCCCTGAATTTCTGAACAGCAGCTTTCTCCCTCCAGAGGGCCATGCTAGTGCCTACACTGACTATACTGGATAAACTGTGCATTGACTCAAAAAGCAAACTGATAATTCTGAGAAGAAAAAATCCATCAAGAATTATCAAATGCCAGAACAGTATCTGAAGCAAGTTGTTGGAGGCCAGAAGCAGACATAAGAGGAAGAACCATAATACACTTGCACTGTTCTTACAGTTCTGGATGATTCTACTGCTATAATCATTGTTTCCTCTCCTGGAGTAGACCCTCCCTTAACTTGGACTGTGAACATTTTAACACAGGAACAGGCGCTTGTACAGGCTCAGCACAACCAAGCCCTGCTCCTGTATCTGGATACCAGCACAATATCTTTAGTGGTACAAATTACCAATGCAGAAATGCAGGCTCAAGTAATGTTCATAAATGCTGTATTAAGTTATTTTGACAAATTATAATACTAAGAGCCAGTTATTCCTACCAAGAAATAGGAGTATCCATAGTTAAAATATGTTCAAAGTGTCACAATAGCTTGAAGTAACAGCTTTATTAACATGGATTTAGAAAGAGCTTAAGATTTTTCTTCTGGATGCCCTCACTCACAATTATCTTGAAGTCATCTTCCACTTGTTTATTGCACGTGCACCACAGAAATTATCCTGAGCACAAATAAACTCCCTTTCAAACATTTATCCAGAAAGATATGTTATTTATAGACAAGCTGGTCAGCTCTGTGAGAGGTGCAGCCTTAGCTATGACAGGGTGCTCTGCTCCTAGCAGCTGCAGGTGACAGTCAGTGCTGAAGTTTCATTTAAAATGAGAACAGAAACATGGGTGCAGAGGTTAAAAAAAAAAAAAAAAAATTAACAGAGGGTTTTTTGGTTTTTTTTTTTTTTTTGGTAAGGATACTGTGTGCTGCTGAGATAAGAGAAAATGGATAAAGGAGGATTCTAAATAGAGAAGAAATAGCAATGTTAACAGAGTATCAGTGGATAGGCTTAGTGAGGTTTATCAGATTTGGATAAAAGAGGGGATAGCTATCAATCCTCCACAAGCTCTCAGAGTTTAAACGGCTAACACGTTTGTTCTCATCCATGAAGAAAACACCTTAATTTGACAAGCAACCTCACTGAAAATGTTCCCACTACAGCCATTCAGCAGTGCCTTCTGCCTCCTTCTCAAAGTGCGTTTAATGCCTCTGAAAGGTGCTGAGTTGGTAGATCTTAGGATTGAAAGCTTCTGGTATTTGCACCCACCCAGGAAGCTCCAGGTTTGCCTGTCAGTGCCTTACTGCCCGGTCCCTTGGCCAGAGGACAGCCCATCCCACATTTAGACTCAGCAGTGACCCCTCAGCACAGATTGCCAATGTGCACCCACCGAGGTGGCAGCCTATGTGGGGACAACACTCAGTCATAAGGATTATTAAAGACACTAATTAAAGACATTAAAGACACTAATTCATTCCATGTGAGTCACCCAACAACCATCAAAAGATGGTAATTTGTCCTTGGATTAAATTTCCATTTTAAGAACCTGCATGTGCACTAAAAGCATGGAAGATAAGCAAGACTAGAGATGCTGAAATATCCAGAAGAGAAACACTCAGCTATTTCTAAATCCATTAATAGCATCATTATCCTGAAATTATGTGGCATTCAGAACATATTTACATTCATTTTGGGGGTTACCTAGGGCCTTGAGAAATAGAAGTTCAATGCAATTTCAAGTAGATTTTTATTAAAAATAAAAGACTCCATGAGACAACTCTTACTGGTGTAAGCATCAGCAGCATTAAATTAGTGGAGGCAGCCACTGGTGTAAAAATTGTTTTAATTTCACTAACTCACATTGGGAAAAGAAGAATTTTTTCAATAGCAGTTACAATTATCTTCTGAACTTGTCTCTAATTCAAGCCTCCCATTCAAAGGAAAAAAAATGCACGCGCTATAGAGAACACTAAGAGTTTCATACAGAAAACAAATAAAAGGCTTCTGAAAACTGCCAAAACATCATTAGCTTAAAGGACACAGGACCACAGGCCTAAGTACATCACCAACTTACCACATCATAATAATTCATTACTTAGGAATGGTCTAAATACACACACTTAATTCCACATGGAACAGGAGGCAACGTAAGGCAGCCTATGCCTTTTCCTTGTGAGCCAACCCAAGTGGAACTATGCTGCACAGGCTCATCGCAAGCACAGTAGCCTGTTACCATTACCCCCGGACCTCCGAGTCATGTGCAATACGGAATGGTGATGCTTTGAAAACCTTTGTGTTGAATCGGTAGTTAATTGAATTAGTGAGTCACATCAAACCTTCATACTGAGCTTCATATGTAACAAACCGCACACTGGGTTTCATTAGCAAGAGTGAGGCCAGCAGGTTGAGGGAGGTGGTTATTCTCCTCTAGCTGGTACTTGTTAGGTCATATCTGAAATACTACATCCAGTTTTGTGCCACCCTGACAGTCCAGGAAAGGCATTCACAACTTGGAGAGGGTCCAGTGGAAGCCTAGCAAGATGGTTATGGTGCTGGAGCACATGATATACAAGGAAGGGCTGAGGGAAATGGATTTGGTTAACCTGCAGAAGGTTAGAGGGAGATTTACTGCAATTTTCCAATATCTAAAGGGGTGATACAGTGATGCTAGAGGCCAACTCTTCTCAGAAGCGCACAGCAAAAGGAGAAGAGGCAATGGAGACAAGCTGTGACAAAGGAAAAAGGACAAAGAAAAAATATTTTTACAATGAGTGGCTAAACACTGGAACAGGTTGCTCAGACAGTAAAATCTTCGGTAAGATTTTGTTTGATAAAGCTGACTGCAAAGAAATATATCTGTGTTTTACTCAGAACCACAAAATGTTCACATAAAACATATTTCATTACATGACTTCACTGAAAAGACAGAATGTGGATTATGAACCAGCTGGGTATTAGAGCCCAAAATTTGGTTTTCAAATGAAGGAACAGAAATGTGTGCTTGTATGTAATTCATTCAACCCTTTCACCAGTAATCTGGAAGTAAAAGTAACTTGCTGGTATCACGTGCAACACCAGAAATATTGATGGATGGCTGAATAACTACACAGAGCATGAGATAGCTTCTTAATAGCCTGGGATCGTTTGCACACAAAGAATTTAGTAACAACAAATAGAGTTATATAAGAACAGTATTAGGTGATTTTACTTCTGCACAGAGTGGTGAGACTGATGTTGCCTAAGTTGTGGTGGTTTGTATAAAAAGAAAGTTGGAAAATCAGCTGGGATACCAAAGGGAGCCACAAAAAAAAAAAATGAGTCAAGCATTCATTCAAATGAAAATATTTGACAACAAGAAGCATAAAGAATTAAATATGTTTAGTCTATCAAAAAGACAGTTTGAGAAATGGCTTGATTACACAGCGTAGGAGTTTTCACAGAGGGAAAACACTGTTGAAGAGCTCTTTCATTCAGCAGAGAAAGGCCTAATAAAAGGCAACGGCCATTTAGGGACTGAATGTAAAACAGTTACAGTAAATTGCACATCATTCTCTCTCTGTCCAGTGAAACCAACAAGCTATTAATAAAGAAATGTCCAGGCCTATCTATTATATCCCAGCAGAAGCCAGCCTTAGTCTATAGGGCTACACTCTGCAGGAGGAAGGATAGGGTGGTAAGCTGCTGAGCTACCACAGAGGAAGATGTGAACATTGTTATTTAAGTCCTTACCACATCATCTGGGTATTAACCCTGAAAATCATGTTCCAAACTATATTCTGCTGCAGTAGTAAAAGAATGCTTAATTCTCCATAGAGCTCACTTTATATTCTCCAGCCAGCTCCAACTGCAGAATACTTCTTTCCTCTCTTTTTCTAAAATTCATTACTTAGCACTGCAAATGTAGAGTGAATGAATTTGTTGGCAAGAAAAGTCATCCCTTTACATGCAATTTGTAATAGTCACTCTAAGTTTTTTATAGTCCTAAAGGGAAATGTCACATACATATTAAAGTATTACTCTAACTCACCAGGAGTGCAACCAGCCTCATCAATACCACTTTCACAGTCCTTCTGCCCATCACATCTCCAGGACGACGGTATACATTTGTTGCTAAGGTCTCCACAGCTAATTTTTTCAGCTGGACATACTTGCTTGGCTGGAAGAATAAAATAAAGGAAAAAAAAAAAGTTAAACATAATTCTAGACATTGCTAACACTGTTTACACTTTTAAAGTTACTTGTATTTTGTATGGCTCAATCCTGAGACACATTGTAATGAAATCCCAAGTTGACACTGATTTTGAGGGATGGCTCCTTACATGTTCCATACATGTTCCCCAAAAGAGATCACAATACTTTTATG